TGAAGAATCATAAAACCGAAATGTGTAAACTTTACAACACGTTTCTTTAATTAAGAACTGGAGTTTTCAAAGTAGTAAAGTAAACCAACAGATGATTAAGAACTCTCTTAATCTGAAAACAAACATAGTGAATTGTATGTAGCTATCATCATTTCAACAATAGTAAAGTTCTCATTCTTTCTCCCCCTCAATCAATTAGCTCTGAATCTTGAATATATGAATCTAAGAAAACAACTTTGGTGGGTCTTGGTTATATATTTAACCGGATCTAAATCTCTTCGGGTTAGCTTTCCCATCGGATTTCAGTGTTCCACTAGATTCACCTTCCGATGAAGCATCCACCGATCTTGCGAACGAATGAGAGAGATCGCCGTAAAGGCTAGCTACTCTTCTGATATTGTTGTTGAGCTCTTTAATCAGACTCACATTTCGACCCAAGTTATCGGGTAGTTTCGATTCGTGGTTCTGATTGATCTCGTTGATCAATAACCGGTTTTGATCTAAAATGTCTTGAACATCCACAAAGCTCTTCTGGAAACTCTGCAACAATTTCCCATCCATATTGTGTCTTTCTCCAAATCCTGAAAACACATCTCCTTCCATTCTCGGTTTCTTTTCGACCGAGAACAAAATCTTGTTCGATCTTTTACTCCTGAAATGCATAATAGAACAACAAACAAAAGCCAATCAATGGATTCAATTTTACAGGAAAATGTTGACCAGAAATAGCTACTACAATACACAGTTTATATTCTTCATGCGTTGACCTGACCCTATCTTGATTTCAGAGCTCTAAACCTTTGATCTCACATAAGATTCCATTAGTACACAGACTTTTTCCAGTTAGAATTCAATCTCAAATTCAGGCAAGATCTCAACACTATTCAGCTGAAAAAGTCATGAATCGTATAAAGTTGGAATGGATTTTGTTCTTATGAGCCAAGGGGAAAGAGATCTATAAAGAAACAAGTAAAAAAGCTGTTCCAGAAATAGCCTTAAAGCGAGGAAAAAAAAACTTTCACAAAAGTAGAAACAGATTCAGATAAGATTCGTAATCCTCAATAATTCAAAAGACCCAGAAACCAAAGCAAATTGCATAATCTATAAACCCTAAACCAAGACAAAAATTGAATAGAGCCCAGAAAAGAAAAAGAGTTCTGATCCAGTTTTCTTACCTTTTGGAAGCAGAAAGAAAAAAAAAAAGCTCCGATGAAAAATCGAGATGATTTTCTCGGGAAACAAACAAAGAATCCTGATGTTTTATATATGACCACAATTATTGGATACTGTGGAAAAATTGAAAAGAAGAAAAACAAAAAAAAAGAATCTAAGACAAACCAGTTTGAGACCGAGATATTTGAGCTCTATTTTTTACCCTTTTTAAAAAAAGTTTATCATTTTTGCTTGTACTTACTCTGAATCTCAGTTTTTGACAGAGATTCGTTCGGAGGTTAGAGAAGCAGACATCTGGATCGAACATATTCGACCCGACCCGACCCGTAAAGATTTATGCTGCTGTTTGCATTTACTGTACTTCGATTGAAAACCATGCTGTTGCATTGGTAAATAAACGGCATGTAATTTATCACAGTATTTGCAAGTGAGGGAATAAACAGCACGTAGTTAAAAATGCTTAGTTACTTTTAGCTATATAACAACAATGGTAGGTATGTAGTTTCTTCCTGTGTACAGTATGGTTTTAATCTATATACCTGATAATACATCTGTATACAATCCGCTGGGATCAAAATCATCAGCTTTAAGGATCGCTCGACGGTATGACTTCTCCAGAACTCCTCTCTTTGATCTCAGCCTTTGCAAGCCGAATCAAGAACAAACCCGCGAAAAAAATTGAAATAATAAGCATGAAGAAAACACTGTTCCACCCTCTGCTCGATATGTAACCAGCGAGCAACGGTCCCAGAGCCGCCCCAACCGAACCAGTACCGTCTATGATAGCTGTCACTGTGGCCAATGCCCGACCGTTTCCTCTAATGGATTCTTGTGTTCCAAGATCAGCTGCAACGGCTGTTGTTATGAGTGCATAAGGACCGTTTACTAATAACCCGGATATAAACATCAAGGCAATGTTGATGAACATGGACACACTCCCATAGATTCTGTACAGAATTAGGGCAGGAATGGAGAGTGACAAGAATGTGATTGATGTAAGGGCACGGGCTTTGATTTTATCGGAAATGAAACCTGCTGATATACCACCAAGCACTCCTCCTATGTCAAAGACTGTGGAGAGAATCCCAGCGGTTTTGTGGGACAAATGCACACCCGCAACAGCTGTTTAAAAGCATAAGAGTAAGAACATGAGTCCTAGTGATGCAAGTTCAGTTATATGAAAAAAGCCATGGATGCATAAGCTTACCAGTGTGCCTTAAGTAGTATGGCAACCAATACAGGAATGTGTACGCGACGAGTTTTGAGAAGAACAAGCAGAAAGCGAAAGGCGCGACACCTGGCAATCTCCATGCCTCAAGAAACCCGATAGCAGCCAAGGATTCATCCAATTCATTTGCGGTTTCAAGAAGCCCTGCATCCTCAGCTTCCGGTTTTCTCAAAGTAGCCTCTACATTATCAGCTAAACTCATCTCGATCTCCATCTCCTTCCCCGGTTCTTCAAACCCCAAATCATGAGGACTCACAACAAGACAAAGAAACACAAGAAGTCCAGACACGATCACCAGAACACCAGGCAAAACAAAGGACCAGCCCCATCCGAATTCGAGAACGGAGGAAGCTATAACCGAGCCAAGGATGTTCCCTACGGATGTATGAGAGTTCCACAGACCCATAATCAACCCACGTTTCTCTTTACCACACCAGTTACCAACAACGGACACAACACAAGGCCATCCAATGGATTGAAACAAGCCACAAACAATCTGAACAGTCATGTAATAGCCAAGTAAATGCACATTCATCCAATACCCTAATCCGAAAATTACAGTGAGGATCCCACTGCCCATCATTCCGAATACAAGAAATAATCTCAAATCGATTCTATCACCAAAGTGCCCAGCAAAGTACATACCCAGAGCATAGGAAGAAAGGAAAGCCAGATCGAGCTCACCGAGTCTCTGGGTCCCTTGGGTTCCGTTAAACGGAGCCCATCCATTATCGATGGATTCGTCGATCGAGGAAGTGTTAGATGCAACGGACGGTCCAAGAACGCTCTTGACGATGCTGGGAGGTTTGCGAGAGGCGTGAAACGATGCATAGGCTACGAAAGTGATGATGAGAACCAAGATTTGATGGAAAGTGAAGGTTTTGTGAGGTGTGTTTAGATTAGGGAAGAGGGAAAACGCCGGAGCTAACCCGACGATTCTTGATTGCATACTGCTCAAATCCGAGTTAAATCAATCATTTACAATGACACAACTTTGATCCTTGCGAATGCTTTACTTTTCTCCGGGTAGCTGCTAGATCTTGTAAAGTCGAAGCAACCAGTTAGATCCTCGACCAAAGGTAGAGCTGGTCTGATCCGAATTCTTTCGGATTGTTTATGGTTGTTCTCAAGTTTTGATTTTTCCAGAGATTCGGAGGTTAGAGAAGAAGTCACACATCTGGATCGAACATAATTCGACTCGTAAAGGTTTACGAAGTTGTTTGCGGTTAGCTCGGACGAACATAAACGGCACGTACTTTATTACAGTGTTTTTGCTTCTTTGTTTGTGAGGGAGAATAAACGGCACGTAGTTACAAATGCGTGAGGTCAATCCATTGACCTAGGGGTATTACCGTCATTTCGTTCTTCTTATTCCTTTAGTTCGCTGTTCTCTGAGATCGAACCCGTCACCAAGAACTCGGAATATCGTTTCTCTCGATCCGTCCTCTAATCCCGCCATCATCTCACAAATCTATAAACCCCCGCCAAAACCCTCGCCGGCGAGAAATTTGTGTCGCCGTTAAAGCGGCTGATGAATTTACCGGCGGGAGATTTTCCGTTGACCTAAACCTAACGGAGATTATGGACTCGATTGTATGCACGGCACTGGAGGAAATCTGTTGTCAGGGAAATACAGGGATTTCTCTAGTTTATCTCTGGTCACGGCTCGCTCCTCCTTCTCTATCTCTTTCCGTAAAGGCTCATGTCTGGAGAAATCTGCTATTGATCCCTCAGCTTCAGTTCAAGGCGAAGAACACTGTGTACGGACCATCGGATGCTTCGATTCAACTTCTGGAAGATGCTTTGAGACTCGATTTGAGGATCGTCGCGAATGAGAAGCTCCGAGGTAACTTCGTTGGCTTGTACGATGCTCAGTCCAATAACGCGACTGTTTCCGCGATTCAGCGTCGCGTTCTTGAACGGTTGGCTGTTGCTCGGTAAGCTTAGCTTTTTGTGCAAATTCAAATTCTATTATATTTACTCTATTAAGAGCTTTGATAGTAGTTTGTAGCGATTACTGTAACTATAATATGTCTGGTTATTATTCAGGGCCAATGGAGTTGCACAAAATCTGCTTGCTAAAGAGTTTGGTATTGAAGCAAGGAACTTCTTTTATATTTTGAAGCAACTTGAGTCTAGAGGTTTAATTGATAAGCAACCAGCGATTGTGAGAACAAAAGAAGTTGATGGTGAAGGAGATTCCAAGACCACCTCATGCATTAGCACCAACATGATTTACTTAAGTCGTTACGCTAAGTCTTTGGGTTCCCAGCAGAGGTTTGAAATCTGTAAAGAGGAATCTACGTCGGAGACAACAATGAAGGAGCATGAGGCTACTGCGGCCGGGGATAGTCTACAATCTGAAAGTAAAAAAGATGATACGCTCGTCAAAGATTTTCTACCAGCAATGCAGGCTGTTTGTGATAAGCTTGAAGAAGCGAACGAGAAGGTTAGTAAATTCAAAGTATTTCTTTTTTATCAAGCTGGATCTTGCTAGTTGTATTCTCATTTTGTTATTGTGCAGGTTCTAGTCGTCTCAGACATTAAGCAAGAACTTGGTTATATGGGATCACATTCAAGGCATAGAGCTTGGAGAAGTGTAATATATTTTTTTCCTGTCTTCTTACTTTTCATCCACTTGGAACTGAATATTTTAAAGCAAACTTGGGTGGAAATACAGAGTTTCAATTCTTTGTCCATGTAAC